CCTCATTCTTTCACAAAAGTCTTTTATCTAGAGATAAGCTACTATTCTGGGTCTACTTAAAGACAATTAAAGTTATTGGGGGCTAAGGGCATTTAGCAAGGTGGTGGGCAGCAAGAGTGCTGATTGGAGAGACCTTCCCCTCTTCCCTGGTTCTTGTTTGGTGCTATTCTGTGAGGTTATCAAGCTGTGAGAATCCTAAAATCCAAAACCAAAACATTGAGCAAGGGTAAAAGGAAGGGAGAGAAGAATTTCAGTTGAGTGCACTGCATCTGTCCTGAGGTGGAAAACACTGAGGCTTCAAAATGTCCTCATGCTATAAATCACTATTAATGGGGATTTCTGCTAGTTTTGGAGGAACACATTCTAACCATTAGTGCAAGTGAGGTCAGAGATACAGAAAGTCCTCTAGAGTCACTGAAAAATCCTAGACTAGATTATATCTTGGCTCAGTGAACCACCATAATTAAAAAAAGAGAATGTGTTAATTCTAAGACACTGTTCAGACATAAAAGTTTAGAAAAAGTCACACCATCTTAAAGAAAAAAAGACCCTGACTTTCCTGTTCAAGCTTTCCCATGGGAGAGGGAATTTTGGAAACAGACTTGAAGTGTTATGATCCTCTTGTCAGACTTACTGTGATCGTGGACAAGAGTGTTTAAAGCTCCCTTAGCTCAAGATCCTTTCTAAAAAAAAGACTGATGGGTTGTTTTGAGTACAAGCATAGATTTCCCATATAGCTCGACCCAACAAGAGGGCATGCAGGAGTCATGCCGATGCTGCTGTCTCTGGAGAAGGAACTGCTCGGTTTCTCTTGCTAAGATAACTTCCCCTGCGCATCTAGATTTCTGAGATTAGTTAATGAGTGATGACCTGTAAGTGATGCTACACCGAAGCTTGGTGAATTTACAAAATCAAGTGCCAGCTCATGAAAGTGTGCCCTCAGCTAACTGGTCTCTCTCCTGCTTTATCTTTCCTCCAACCTTCTAAATGAGAAAAGCAAAAGTGGACTGAACAACAGAGATGGAGAGAAAGGTGATTATGTAATATCCCAATGATACTAACAAGAATACAGTGTTTAGGAGAGCAGCAGCACACTTCTAAGGCAAGGAAAAATAAGAGGCATATACTTCATTGAAAGATTAATTGAGGTCAATCAGTTCACTGAAAAACATACTAGGTAAAAATTAATTAGGGCAAATAATTTTTTAAAACAAAATTGTTGGTAAGTGTAATTCGGGAAAGTTGAAGGGAAGTTAGAAAAACACAAGAGAGACGCTTGAGTTCTGCCAGGGCAGGTATGTTTGCAGGAAGCATTACTAATACTGGGATCAATATTCATATTCTTTAGTAGTTATGAAAAGTAGAGTTCTGCTAAGACAGCGAGAGCCTCTCCCCTTGGCTTTTCCAGTTAAGACACAAGAATACTGTTTTTTCCTTTACACATTCAGGAACTGGCTAAGAATAGCGGTGAGAGAAGCACAAAGAAGGCACGCTAGGCCATGAAAGATTGGTGATGAAATGAACATGGCAGGAGAGAGAATGGAGAGCTTTATATCTTTCTCTGCTTTGAGAAAATAATTTTCTTCTCATTTCACACAGAACCTGGATCCATACAGTGAAAGGCCACTTAAACTGGAAGCTGCCATCATTTGTAACCCTGTTGCTACAGGAAGGAATAAAATGGAGGAAGTTAGGACCCAACACACTGACCAGAGCTAAGAGACTCCACACGTTATATTTTACAATCTTCTTTCTGCTTATTCCAGTTTAGGTGTCCCAAAATATGTTATACACTTGCAAATCACATAAGAAATACACTCAGGTAACTGAAAGTATATTTAATTACTAAGAGTATTTTTACTTTGGGTGATACAAAACAAAAGTGACTTTTTCCCAAAAAATCTTTATTACTGCTTGAGCTCCTGGACTAAAGTAGAAATTATTGACTTTAATAACATGAAAATGCTCTTTAAACTGTTGGGATTGTTTCTGGAATATTTGAAAGTAGCAGCATAAGTTCAGTGGACATTTTCATTAATTCTTAGTGAAAATGGGAATTCAAAAATTAAAATTTCCTTCTTGGAAAAAAAGAAACCATTAAGGGACTTAATGAGTCCAAATTAATCTCAGCATAGCATATTTTCAATAATAAGTAGCTACAGGACAGAGATGGATCTTTGCCCTTTGTCCCCAGCTTTAACAGGGTAAGATACCGGTAACTGAGTCACAAAATGTGGAGAGTAATGATGGTGGTGCTCCACATGGGGTCGTTCAACTAAGGTGAGCTGACTGAACAGACAGAGAAACCATATACAGAGAAAACAGACAAAATGATCTCAATTTTCTTCAAATGTGGGGACTAAGCACTGATATTTTTGTCAGCCCACTTACACTGGCATTATAGCTAAAGAGAACCTAGCTGTGGACCCTGAATTCCTTTTCCATTGCGATATATAAGTGGTGATCTCCCTTCTGCCATTGGTTGCGTTCTCAAGGTCCATTCCCTCCAACTAGAAAGACTGATTCTATCACAGGGCCAAAGTCAGCTTGAAGTAACATCTGAAGCAATTAGTGACAAGAGCAATTTGACTCCTTCCTTTGTTAAAAGTGTCATTTTCAAGATCTGACGTCTCGCTGTTAGGCTGAAGAGGTATAAATTGCATTAGGTCAATCCTCAAAGAACCGAGGAAATGGGACAAGTAATTTTTGGGAAGATTCATTTCAATTTTCTATATTACCTGCTTCTAACATCCACTTTAAAAATCTAGACAGTTTTGCCCAAAATGTTGTTTGGTCAACCTTACAGGGATGTACTAAGTGGGTTTCAAAGTAATTTCATTGCCTTTTATCTTTCCAAATATTTGTAATTTCTTCCAATCTTTGCTTATTATGGCTGAAGGAAAGTATACCAGAACAGTAATGGAGGGTTCACCAAATGTCTTTAAAGGCTGTCTTCTATGACTTGAGAATTAAGCCAGCTATCCTAGGGTACAGGAAGTAGAGAAGGCAGTCTGCAGAGGATTGCTTGTTGCCCTATTCTGTCACTCTCAAGGGCCACCTATAGAGTGTGGAAAGAGGAATTAATTTGGCAATTCATCTGTAGAGAATCTGGAGAGCTCATTTCAACATTTAAACCCTGTTAGTTTGGTGGCACAGCTAAAACAAAATACTGCAGGCTGGGTGAAATTCTATTATTTCACATTTGTAGAGCTTAGAGGTCTAAAATCACAGTGTGATTCAGGAGGAATTGCTCCTTCTGAGATCTTTGAAGAAAGAGCCCATGAAAAACCTCTTTCATTGGCATACAACTGGCATCTTCTCCCTAGCTCTCTTCATATCAACTTCTCTCTGCTCATGTTTGTCTTTGTGTCCAAATTTCCCTCTGTTCATAAGAGGATCCGGCCCACCTTTCTACAGGATGACTTCATCTCAAATAGTTGAGTTTTTCTTTTTAGCAGAATTATTTCAGTTATCTTTTGTATGGTATATTGTGTCAGAGATCGTAAGAGAAGCCTTTAAACTTACTTTCTTCTTCAGTGTATTTATTCTATAAAACAAATCTAAAAAGCTCCTTGTTGATCTATCACCTGGGAGGAAAATGTGGCTTTTTTTGTATTTTAGGCAAGGGTCTACAGCATGTTCAGGGTCTCACTACTAGATCATATTCATGGTGATCTGCCTGTTTACAGCCTCCCAAGAGCTGCGATTCCAGGCATATGCCACTATGCCCAGTCTCACTTGCTGTCTCAGCACGCCGCGGGAGCAGGGCCAGATGGCAGGCCTAGGGGTCGACCACCAGCCCCTGTGCCTGCCTGTAAGAATGAAAATGAATTCTAATCACAAAGATATATGCTTCTTGGTTTGAACCAAGGTTGTCACTTTTAAGAGTATGAAACAAGTCTTCTAATTTTTTATTAAAAAATTACTTATTTATTCCATACATACTTACTAGAAAACCTTCTGTAAATACAACAGTGAATAATGGAAAATGTCATTGGGCTAGCAGTTTCAATTTTGTAAACATATATATTTAGTATCTGATGTAAGTGTTTTGAATGGTTTTCTAGACTCAGTATTGGTCTAAGTGGAGTAGGAAAATGGTGTTACTTGCTCTGATACAAAGGATGAGAACTCATCCATTGTCTTGTGGATGCTGACAAGTTATTTAAACATGGAAAGCATCATGTTTTAAAGCACTTTAGTTTGTAGTCAGTGAAGAAAGCTCCTTGGGCTTCTTAAATTTTCTAGACTGTGTGGTGGGCATCCTTAAATTATAGCACCAAACAATTTTGGACCACTAGAAGACAGATTTGTGATCATTTTGTCCAGCATTTTCTGCTCTGAATTTTATGCATTTTCTACTCTGAAGGGTAGTTCATAATGTCTACATAATAAAGTGACTACCCTGGTCAAATAAGGTTTCTGAGTTAAATTAAAAAAGAGAGTATTTCCTGGTGGGTGTTTAGTACTTTAAAATTGGAAATGTATATTGTAAAACAACAAGAGAGAGTCAGCCAGATAGCTCAACAGATTAAAGCGCCTACGTAGGCAGAGTGCAGGGGCCTGGGTATGATTCCCATGCCGTGCTGGCCCCACCCCCGGGGCGCACTGAGAGGGCCACTGAGACTGGGCATGATGGTGCATGCATGTAATCTCAGCGTGTGGGAGGCTGAAAACGGGACGATCACGACGAGGCTGATCTATGTAGTGAGACCCTGTAGACCCTGTAGTAAATACAAAACAACAACAATAAGAACAAGAGATACAGAAATATGAATTTCCTAAGTTTTTGACAATGTAAGCTTTCTTGTATTGTTTTAAGTGAGTCAATATTTAGGTCTTAATGAAGTAGCATTTTTTAAAAATAGGTACCTTTATTGCTATTGAAAAAGAATGATAAGTCTTCAACATAAAATACAGTAACTAAGTGTGATGTTCACCCAGCATCCTCAAGCCACTCCTTTTAAAAAGAAAGGCAAGGTCTTAATATCAACAAATAACAAGGGTAAAGCACAAACTCAGTCCTCGACTACCACAAATTATGCAGTTGAGTATTCCACGTTTGAGGAAATCACAGAAGTCAACCCATCCCCAGTGCAATGGACAGGCTTTGCCTATGAAAACCACCTTTGTGCTCATGGTATCTCCCTGACAGGTAAGTATTGAGTTAACATTTGAAAGAAGATAGTATGGGAGATACTAACCCAGTCCATTTCCTAGTTTTAGACATGGAGAAGTTTAGACCCTGAAGGGTAAAGCATCTTGGTAAACAACCTCAACTCTATAACCTTTGGTTTTTGTTTAATCTAACAAAGACACATAATAAAGCAAAAGAAGCTGGGCATGAGGCCAGTATCCTATCTCTGCTCACTGAGTTTTCAACATGCTGCAGAATCTCATGAAGAAACTTGAGTGTTATGCAGGTTTCTGTTAAATCTGGCTTGCCTCTGAGAAGGCCTTATTATCCATCTATGAAATAATCTAAATCACCATTTAGTTCTTAACTGAAAAGCATATGGTACTCCTGAGATGCCCTCTAGTACAATGATGTCACGTTTGAAGATTTGTGACAGTGACATGCATTTGGTTAAAGAATTCAGTTATCTATTCCACAAGTATTTATTGGAGTACCTTCTATAAATACAACAGTGAATGAGACAGGGTAAAGTCATCATGATAACCATTTTAATTTTGTACAGAGAGACAGACACTAAATGTTAAATAAATTTTCTGCCCACACTGCTAACTAAATATATTGATGAATAGAAAACATATTAATGGGATAGAAGTGGTATAGTGAGGCTGAATTTGCACTTGCCTTGGGCAGTGTGCTCCGTGGATCTGACAGATGCACTGCAGCTTGAATAAGAAGGAGCTATTTGTTACAAATTTGGAAATGAGAGAGCCACACAGAGGAAAAGAAGCTACTATGGCTGGTATTCTGGGGGGCATATTTTCATGGTCATGTACTAAAAGAGTCAGGCACAGAGAGACCAAAGTGTAGGTTGGGAGGATATTGAGACCAGGTGCCCAGGGTTCAGTGCCATAGACTTTGATTCTCTAAATTGAGATGGATGCAGAAATCTGACATTCAAATAACCATGTGCTTTTGGGGTTTTAAGAAGCTCACAGAAGAGACTACAGATAACTGATCTTTCGGGCATGCACTGGCATCAAACCCAAAATCCAGATGGATTTCTGAGCCGAGTGAGACCAATAATGTCTACTTATACTCATGCATCCAGGGCAACTGAATTAACTTGAGAAAATGGAAGGAAATAATACCCTGGAATTCCCCAAAATAACTAACAGGTCACCTCTAATACATGCCATTTAATGAGATATTGCCTAATCACATCAATTGATGATGAATCCCAACATGCCAAGTAAGACTTGGTGATGTGCTATCTTTCAAGTATAAAAGTGAAAATTTTAACTTTTATTGTGTAACTCCTAAAGACGTAAAAGAACAAAGAACAGAGAAGATATTGATAACTTTTATTTTTTAATTTAATTATTCTGTATTCAAAATTTTTCTTGAAAGAGAAAGAATTTAGGTGATAGAAATAACAATACTTTTGTAGAAAATGCAAACTGTAATAATAACCTTTCATTGTCTGCACCCTATTATCTTTAGATGCCTGTACACATTGTACCCACACATCTAATGAGCAACATCTTTTGTAGGACAGGTACCTGGGTAGAGAGTTGCATCATGTTGCCAGAGCAGCAAAGATAAATTTGCTGCCCACACAGGAATGTAATGCATGACCCTGTTTTGGGGAATTCTATGTGCAAAAGTAAATTATAATAAAAACTTAACTTCAAAAAAGCATCTGATAAGGCACTTACTATTCCCACACATGTCAGGGCTGTCTTTACTGAAACTCACAGAACCAATAGAAAACTGGATCAAACTTACCAGGAAGACAGATAGCACTTTGACTCAGAAATTGATGCAAGGTACATCCTACTGTGACCATCAATCACATCATTCACTCGTTTTCATCCCTAACTTTTCTTAGTCTGCAAAATAATCAATAAATGTCACCTTATGGAGTTAACGGCCTTCATTCTAAATTTACTATGTCCATGTTGCCCTCTGGCTCTTTATCTGTGGGCTCTTTCTTTCTATAGATTGAAAAATCAACATGCACAGGACACTTAACATGATAGCTTAGTAGAAGTCCTTTATTTACTTAAAAATATTTTTGTGGTTTTTTTTAAATCACCCTTATTATTTTTTTTCTGTTATGTAAAAACACCACACATAGAATATATAAATATTAAAATCACAAAATTTTAGTTTCTTCTTTTTGTTCTGATATTTTTTATGTAAAGTTCCTTGGCATGCTTCTCAATAAAATTAATATTTTATTTGGATCCTCAGGATCCAAGAGGCTTCACTCTCAGTAGTCAAACTAAACAAAAGAATGAAAAGCATGAGCTTTTGGGACAAATTTGATGATTGGATGCCTGGATTTAATTATTTAGTTATTTCACTATGAATTCCTGTAACCACACTGAATGTCTTTTGGTGCCTTGGAGTCTTAGTTGTCTTATCTAAAAATTAAGAGCTCTAATGTCTGCCCTGTTTTACATATTTGAAGTGAACATAACATTGGTTTTCAAATATGAGAGGAAAAGTGTTTTAAAAATCATAAATATGGTGCCAAAAATGTCTGCTATTAAAGTTATCTTACTAGAAGTGGGAAGGGAGCAGCCAGCAGTTGATCACTGTAGTATGATGTGCATGAGTTGAGTCATTTTTAATATTTATTAATATTAAATTATTTATTAATCCAAGGTAAAGTAAATGCTCATGTTTTTGAAAATAATAAAATACTACATGCATATGCATCTTATTATTAGAATGTGATTATATGTAAGAAATTTATATCAGTCTACACTGCCACCAATAGTGGAGAAAGGTTCCTTTTTCTCCATTGTCCTGCCAGGATTTGTTATTGGTTGAGTTCTTGATTATAACCATTATTTCTTGGTGGAATCTCAGCATTTTGCTTTGCATTTCTTGAATGACCAATGACATTGAACATATTTTCATTTATTTATTTGACATCTGTATTTCATCATCTGAGAAGTGTGTATTCATCTCAGATTCCAATTTATGGATTGGATCTTTGAATTTTGGGAGCCTAATTGTCTTTAATTCTTTATTTTTTCTAGATAGAAGTCCTTTGACATCCAAGAAGTACAACAGATACTGCGAAAGGGAAAGAAGGTGTTCAAAGGGAAGGAACAACTGAGATGAAGGAAAGGAGAGAATAAAAAGAAGGGAAAAATACATGTATATACACAAGATAGCTTCAATAATTGTACTGCTGATTTATACTGGTCTATTCAAAGGAACAGTTAAGGCTTGTTTTTTAAAATTTTTTGACAATTTTGCATGCTTGTATCTGGTAATCTTAACAACTAATTTGAAGACACAATATGTAATATAAAAACCATTGTTGAATTGCTATCATTTTGTTTAGTGAAATTTGGTATTGTTTCTATGTTTTGTTTTTTTTTTTTTTTTTTTTTTTTTTTAATCCTCTTTAAAAGAAAGAAAGAAATTTGGTGTGGCCCTAAGATGAGTATGAGTCAATAACAAACACAAGGAGCAGCACCGCTGTGTAGACTCAAGGTAGGTACATACAGATGTAATACACTATAGGAAATGAGATTCCTGCTTTACAAAATTATAGAAATAATAGGAATCTTGTGGTATGTAAATGACATCTCTGAACAATGCTCTCAACTATAGAACTTTGAGAAGCAACTTTGTATAGAAATATAATTGGCCAATATTATTTCTAGAGATTTTGTTATTCAATATTGTAGTCCTATTCTGAAATTATCCAAATACTATCAGCACAAGTAATGTATAAGAATATGATAAAAGTTAAGTAAATTTATTATGCTGACTCGACATTTAACCTAAATCAGCAAAGTCTTAGTAAATTCAAAGCTTTATACTTAAAGTTCCCACATTATCACGCTGTTGTTATTCTTAGGCACAGATAAGCAAACCCAGAGATAGAAGTCACCAATAGGATAATTAGAGAGACAGAATCAAGCTTCAGATTCGTTTCCTGATGGCTATGGTGATAGCCATGACAACTTATATTCTGAACTATAGCTGTAAGAAGATATTTGATATAACTTACAAAAAATTATATATGGAGCTACATTTACTAAAAATAACTAAACAAAAAATCGGATTAAATTATAATATATAAATTTTCTCATAAAACAATTCAAATACATTGATAAGATCTACCTAATAGTACCAGGAAGATAAGTTGGCCAGTCATAGTACACAAAGTTTGCAGGATTATTAACATTAATTTCATCTAACGCTCACTTCCACCTGAACAAATTTAAAAAGAATTTTCAATTAGGCTAAGAAAAAATGTTTCATAACTGAGCTGGCAAAGATGAGATGGATCTGAAACATAGATACTGTGCTGTTACACAACCTTTTAAAAAGAAGCATATAAACATGTATGTGACCTCGTAAAGCCAGTAATACGTACATTTCCTAAGGAAACAATCAAAAATAAATAAAAGCTATATTCCCAAAAATGTTCATTAAACTATTATAATGAGGAAAAAATAGAAGGAAACTAAATATCAAATGAAAAGGAAATGGCTGAGGAAATTAGAATGCATTATCCTAGGGAAATGTTGTTCAGTCATTAAAAGTGATAAATATAAAGATTATACAGCAATTGGAATAATTCTGTTAAAGAATGAAAAGTTAAATGGGATAAAATATTTTATTTACACTCTCATTATATAAGAGAAAATAGAAATGAATATTGAAAAAAATGAAGAAATCTTAAAGGATCATTTTAGGGTTTTAAGATAATATTACTTTTGTTTAAATAATATCTTATTAATAGTTTATTGATAAAATAATTCATTCAAGTTAACTTTTATTGTTTGAATAGTTCATATTTTAACAAATGATTTATATGTTAACTCTACAGAATAAATTTTCAAGTTCATTCTCCAATATTTTAAATGTGCTCGAGAGGTATAACTAGCGGGCAAAACCGACTGAATTTGTATTGAGTGAGATGGTTTACAAAAGAGGCCACACTGCACTGATTTTTTTAAAAAGTTATTTATTTATGTGTGTGTGTGTGGGGGTG